GGCGCGGGGCCCGAAGGGGAAACGGAGCGGAGCTGGCTTGCAGCTCGGGGCAGGAAGGATGGCCGCGGCGGGCGGAGGAGGAAAACCGAGCGAAGCCAAGCGTTTCTCTCCCCGGGTCCCCAGTCCTGACGGGTGTGTCCTGAGGGGTCCGCTCCGCGGGGCGGGCTGGCAGAGGGCCCGGGAGGGGCGGGAGAGCAGGAGGAGATGAGTGATAAGAGAGAGTAGGGCGAGCCGCCCCGTGCGGGACGAGGTGGCCGAGTGGTTAAGGCGATGGACTGCTAATCCATTGTGCTTTGCACGCGTGGGTTCGAATCCCATCCTCGTCGGTCGTGTTTTCCGAGCAGGAAGGAGTCCTCATTTTCTGCCTCCCCGTGGTCAGGCTGCGGGAAGTTGGCCTGGAATTGTGGGCGCTGTCCCGGGGATCTCTCCCCCTTTGGGTCAGTCACGCCTCTACTGACTGTAGGTCGCGGAAGCCAGGAGCAGCGTGCGTTTTTGTTCCCTTTAGGAAGACTGGGCAGCCGGCACCCGAGAGCCTGGCCCACTTGAGGATCCATGTGTTTGGAGAAGTTACCCCTTGGCTGAAGGCGTGGGTTTGGGCAGGGGGGCGGTCTTCAAGCATTTGAATGACTACTCCCTGCAGCGAATGAAAGACGAAGTCATGGGAATGTTGTCGCCTTGATCCACTTCGGGATCATAGATATCAACCTCGATCGATTTGCACACTTCAGCTCCTCTACTGTGCACATGGTGACCACATTAATAGAATTTTAGTAAATACATCCGTCTTTACGTGAATAAAAACAAGTAAGGTCTCTGTTGCCCTAATTCTATCCTGCCCACTCTTGCCTCCTGCCCCACCCAAACTCCTCCCAGAAGTCACACGGTAAATGGCTGTGGGTTCACAGATGCACGGTATAGTAGAAGAGGAGGCACTGTGACAGGCTGTTTGCCCCCTGCGGCCACGGGCAGTAGGGAGCCAGGGAAGGTTGTTGAGATGAGGAACATCTAAGAGACCTGGACTCCGCAGCCCAATGAGGTAACACAGCACCTGCTCCCAGATGGGGCTGTGTTAGGGACCAGAGATGGACAACTCCTGTCCTTGGAAATGTCCACAGTAATCTGTGCTGAGGGGGTTGCTCCCAACAGCCCTGATCTTGCAAACTGGAGGGTTGGAGGCCAGAGGCAAGGTCCACGTGGGTTTCCTCTGGCCAGATCAGTGTGGGGACAGCGAGTTCATTGTTACCTGGGGGATGCCCGGACAGTTCACATGAAATGCACATGTCTAACCGGTGGGTTTAATGCCAGCCCTGCATTTTCACAGGGTGACAATGGGCCAGAGCTCCCCCTGCCTGCCTGGACCCTGGAGAGTTTGAATTTCATCATCAGTGATCAATACCTATTGACTGCCTGGAAGGATAAGCTATCCCAGGGACACCCCGCCCCCCTGGAAGCTAGGCACTGAGCAGGCATGGGTCCATGACTACAGGGTCACCAGGGGAGCCCCTGGCCTCAGGAAGGTTTATAGAGTGATGGCAAGGATTTGGTGCAGCATCACAGGAGGGCCAGAGGACCACACAGAGTCCGCTGTTGTGTGCAGAGAGGCTTGTTGGAGGGAGGGAGACTTAGGAAGGCTAGACTTAGTAACCATTGACAGATGGTCTGCGGGTGCCCTTGCTACAAGCCACATGACAGACCACATCATGACCTGGGGTAGGCTCTCCTTGGGAAACTCCACTGCCCTCAGGCGTAGGGCACAGGGATCCTCCCATCCTCACCCAACAGCTCCCAACAGCTGCCAGGCTCATGGGCTTGGGAGATTCCACCCACTTTCCAAGCTGATATCTGTTCAGATCCCCACCTCCCCATCGCACTCCTGGAGTGGGATGGCCATGCTTGTCTTCCAAGGTGCCTCTGGGTGGCTTCAAACCACCAGCAGTTGGGTGTTGAACTGCTTGCCAAGGGAGTACTGGATGGAGGTGTGTGGCTCTTGTATGAAATGGGGTCGATTCGGACCCATAGGCACCCCATATGAAAGAGTGGAACTGCCCCAGTTTCTAGGCTGTAATATTGACTAAGGGGCACCTGACCCAAGGCCCGGTATGTTCAATACCCTCATGAATGTGAAAGTTAGACACTGAATAAGAAGACTGAGGAGGCATCCGTGCATTGGAATTAAGGTGCTGACGACCAATAGTGCAAGTATCATGGGCTGTCAGAAGAACAAGCAAATCCATCTTGGGAGAAGCACAGCACGAAGGGTCCTTAGAAGCAAGAACGGTGAGAGTTCCTCTCACGTACTGTGGGCGTGTTCTCAGGAGAGACCAGACCCTGGGGAAGGACGTCGTGCTTGGTAAGGCACAGGGTCAGCAAAAAGGAGGAAGGCCCTCAACAAGATAGATTGACACAGTGGCCACAACAATGGGCTCCCAATAATTGTGACGATCTCACAGAAGCGGGCAGTTTTGTTATGTTGCACGTAGGGTCGCTGTGAGCTGGGACCAACTTGGGGCGCCTTACAACCACCACCTTTAGGTTGGCAGCAAAGCGCTTGCTTTAACGACGGTGGTTGCTTGGGGCCCTAGGATCTGCCTGCTCAGGCCAAGAGCCTTACCCACCTGACTTCCCCCAACAGCCTCGTGAAGATGTCTGTCCCTCTCCACTTGCCGTAGCTCCCAGGTGCTGCTTTTACAGAAATGCCACACTTAGGGGCCATTAACAAGCAGACTTTTATCCGCCAGGTTTAAGAGACCGTTTCCGGGAGGAAGGGTTTCTCTGTCAGCTCTGGGGGAAGGGCCTGGTCTCTTTGTAGTCTCTCCTCCTTAGTTCCTTGGCGATGTTCACGTGGCGTGAACTTCTCGGCGTCTCTCTGCTTCTGTGCCTAATCTGCTGTTTTTACACCTCAAGAGTGATTCTCCACGGGAGAAAGGCTTTCTACTCCCATAAATAGTCTTGGAAACCCACAGAGACGGTTCTGGTCTGTCCTGTGGAGTCATGGTGAGTCAGATTTGACTTGATGGTATGGGGGGGGGCGGGGGGGGGTGTCGGAGTGATTGACTAAGAAACACAGCACACAGCACATCCTGGCTGCATTAACATAATCAAGAAACCCTGTTGTTGAATGAGGTTGCATCCACTTATAACTTGCCATCCAATGGATTTTCAACTCATAGTGACCCCACGTGACAGAGAACAACTTGTCCCATAGGGTTTTCTTGGCCGTAATCTTATGTGGGGACAGATCACCAGGTCTTTCTTCCCAGGATCCACTGGGCAGGTTCGAACCACCAACCTTCTGGTTAGCAGTCCACTGTTTAACTCGTGTGGCCCCAGTGTATCCACACAGACACGGATCAACACTCCCAACACCATCCCTCAGCCTTCTCCCATCATGCTCTCCTTCTTCCCTGTCACTCCAGGCAGCATGGCCCGCAGAGCCTGGCTTCCAAAACACCCACTGCCATGGAATTGATTCTGACTCAGAGCAACTCTATCAGACAGGATGGAACTGCTACTGTGGGATTCTGAGACTGTAACTCTTTAAAAAGAGTAGATTTATTGGCACATTATTCACATACCATGCCATACGATACTCCACTCATATTAAGAAGAGTTGTGCAAGAGGGACCAGACTTCAACCCAGTGCTCCAAGATGTGAACGCAACATGCCGGCATGGAGTAGGGAACCATTGGAGAAGTCTGAGGGGCCGGCCAATTAGAGCAGCCAATCCACAGAGAGGGCCTATGAGACATGACGCCCCTCACTGACCCATAGCCCTACAGGGGACAACACAGTGTGTGAATTGCGCCGGAGACACAGTGTG